CGCCGCCGCAGGCAGCACCCCTGCGACGGCGGCGGCAGCAAGCCGTGGACCGAAACGCCGTGCCGCCGAGTCCCGTGGCTGTGGCCATGGGCTTCTGGCAGGAAACTACGGCCGCAGCTCGGCAGCACGGGGGCGTCGCAGCGTGCCGCCGCCGCCGCCGCGCTGCCCCCCCGGGGCACGGCGGCGGCGGCAGCAAGCTTGGGCCCAAACGCCGTGCCGCCGAGTCCCGTGGCTGCGACCGTAGACTGTGGGCCGGAAACTGCGGCCGCAGCTCGGCGGCACGTGGTTCTGTTCAAATCGCCAAGCGTGCAGCAGCGCCGAACCACGCTTCCCGGCCTCGGCGCATGCCTTCAGGGGCCCCCTATCGCTGGGCACACCCCTCCAACACCGAACATGCGCCCGGGGGGGAGGGCGGCCCGGGCTGCCCAGGCCAAAGTGGGCCGCCCTCGAGCAAGAGGCGGCCAGTCTGTGTGCTGAATGAATGAATGAATGCGACGGTTCCCTTTATGCGACGGTTCCCATGTGCGTGCGGGTGCCTGGTGGGTACACACCCACATTTCAGGCCACCTCAGGGGTGAAGCAGGGCTGCCCCTTGAGCCCTATATTGTTCGGTCTGTTCCTGGATGACTTCGAGTCCGGGCTGGTGCAACAGGCTGCGGCCGCGGCTCTGCCTCGCTGGCAGAGCGGGGAGTGCGTGCCGCCATTATTTTACGCTGATGACCAGGCCTTGCTGGCCACCACGCCGGCAGGCCTGCGTTTCCAGCTTGGTTACCTTGAGAGCTACTGTGCCGCCTGGGGCCTGACGGTTAATACCAAAAAGACCCAGGTGGTAGTGTACACCACTGGCAGGGCTGCTGCCACGGAGGAGCGGTTCCGCTACGGCGGCAATGAGGTGGAGACCGTCCCCACCTTCAGATACCTCGGCGTGCACCTGCACTGCCGGCAGGCCTTTGCCTCGGCGGCATCGTATCGGGCGGAGGCTGGGCGGCGCGCGATGCACCTGCTGCGTCGCCGCCTGGCCGAGAATGGGTTGCAGGACCCCCTGCTCAGCATGCGTGCGTTCAAGTCTTACGTCCTGCCGACGTTGTCGTACGGGGCAGAGATCTGGGCGCCGCAGCTGATTCTGCAGGGCAGGACGGCATGCGAGCGGGTACAGCTGGAGTACCTGCGAGGGCTGCTGGGTGTGCGGGACAGCACCCCAGCCCTCATTGTGCTTGCAGAGACGGGGCAGCTGCCGCTGCCCGCCTACTTTTTCGAACGATCGAATCAATCAAAGCGCGCCCGCGGATATTCAAACAGCTTGCAGATATTTTCATATCAGCAGACTGACTTTTCACCCACCTGTCACAGATTTTCCCTCGCCCGTTCGGTTTTTTGCCGACAGCTGGCTAGCAGCCAGACTATATAAGGAGCCTCGATGCCCTGACAAGATCATGTTTTCTCTCCCTTTGTGCTGGAGTGCCCCTGTGTAATAACAGGCGCCCGCCGCCCCAGCCCCGCCCGAAGGAGAAGGATCCTGCCGCTGCGACCAGCGCTCGGCAGTCACCCCAGCGCTCTCACGAGGCTCCCCGCTCTCACACAAAGACAAAACAGGCCGGCCGGAACCTTCTGGACCCGCGCCGCCTTTTTGCACCACAGGCTGCAGGAGGTGGGGTGGGGCTGCAGGCGGCGGGGTGGCGTTGCGAGCCAGCCAGCGCCCCACCAAACCCGCCTCCTGCGCCTGACCGGCTCAGCGCCAATCCAAGCCAATTCCTTCGGGAACGCCTATTAGAATCGCCAAGGCTTCGGCACAGGCCTCCCCGGGACCCATTCACTACTAGTGGGGGGTACTGCACTTGGCGCGTCGGGCAGATCAAATAATGGTCTAAAGCTAGACGTTAAAACCGGGAAGTTAAGCCTGTGGAGGCTCTTCCCCACCTTTACCTTTACCTTCCAGGATGGTTCCTGTGCGACAGCAGAGGGCAGAGGCAGGCGTTAGCGGGCACAGTAGACCGGCGGCGGCGGCAGCACTGCCCACTCCCTTCTCACCGGAACCATCCGGCTGCGGGTGCCTCGGCTCCCAGGAACTGCCTCACTGAGATCATCCTGACGTCCACAGATTCAGGCAGGGAGTAGCGGCTCTCGTAGCCTGAGAGCGTCATACACAGGAGCAGGACCCGCTGCTTTGAGGTCCCCGCGGCAGCTGATCTGACCGATGACAGTACCTCCTTGGAGAAGGGGGTGGCCAGGTCGGTCCATATGAAGAACAGGTCGGCGGATGAGTCGCTGCACGATGGGTCTGGGCCCGCTGCCGGCCCGCTGCGATACCATGTGCTCTCCTTTAAGTTGCTGATGGCTTCATGCCCGCCGCTGCTAACAATAACAAACAGCAAAATCAAACTTGCTGGGATGGCCACAAAGAGGGGCACCCCTCCCAGTGTAGCGGAGCCTGAGCCGGCTCCCTGCCTTGCGTTTTCCCGCTTCCTGGTTACCTTATGATTGATCGCGTTCAGGTGTTACAGTCACCCCGCTATGATAGGCCGCGTGAGCAGACCTTGGGCAGGGGGCACACGTGATCAAGGGGCATCAAGAGAGGGGGTGGACCATGGAGCACCCTCTCCATGGCTCCGACCACCCTCCCCCCAGCTGAGCGTCCCAGGGTCACCCCACCCTGGCCCCGCTCCCCGTCCTGCCAGACACGCAACCCCCACAACGTGGTGGGGGACGTGGGGATCCTTAGCAGCTTAGGCCTGCCAGGCCGACGGGTGCCGATGCTGGTGCGGGCTCCCGCCGGCAGGCAGCGCCGCCGCCGGGCACTCAAATGGCATGGGGCACATGGGCCCCCATGCCCGCACATCTCCCAGGCACATGAAAATACCAGAAGGCTGCACATGTAAGGGTGCATGCATTGCAGGCAGGAGTGCAAAGTGGCCTGCCGCGGCGGTCGGCTGTGCCATTACTCAATCAGCCGCCGCTACCGTGCCCGGGCTTGGC